TGTTTTTCATTTTGCATTTTTTGATTTATTCAGCTTGACACTCAAAATTCTTAAAATCTTGTTTTCTTGCTTTTCGTGAATAACTAAGTATATAAATTTCCGTTGTTGGGTTTTTTTTTTAAAGATTTCGTTCATAAACAATTATGAGATATGTTATTTATCTTCTATGTATGCATTTCTTGTGATTCCGATTTCGTTTTCTTGATCAATTGTGATAAAGGGGGTCATTTTATTCATTCGTCAAGATTACACAAAGCTGTTTAGAAATTGGAACCATATATGCATACATAACCGTTCAGGTGTTTGTTTCGATATTTGTAGCAAGTTAACAAATTCGATATAAATAGATTATGATTTCTTAACGGAAAATGCATAATCTAATTTAAATAGGTTGAGTGTGTACGTTCATTAACTATAACCAGTAGTTTTTTGACTCATCATAATGCATTTGTGAATTAAACCCGTTTATACTTATTTATTAACTACAAGAAACAGTCAAATAATTTATTAATTAAAATGAAAATAAAAATAAAAATTAATGATTTTGATGAGTTAAAAAGAAGGAAAATTGCACATGCAAGTCAAAGGTTATACCATCACCCTTTTATTCAAAGTCAAATATAATCACCACCATTTTGGGGTAGCAAATTAGGGAAATTAATTTTGTAAAACATTAAACAATACTAGCTAGCTAGGGATGGTTTTATAAGAGCAAATTAATTTCTATTTTGAATTTTTTTTTGGAAAAACCATTAAACAACACTCGTCACATCAGCATGATAACCGATTAATGCTTCAACTAGTTATTCGGGTATTTAAATGTTTAAAACTTTACATTTTATATACCTAAATGGAAGTTTTGAAAGTGTGTTACCCAATTAGTCGGCTCACATAGCGGGTCGGATATCCAGGTTAATAAAAAAAAATGTACGTTTTATTTTGGCGAAACTCACTTTTTATATAAGTTTACTCGCGAATCTAATTATTTTTGAATTGAACTACATAACGATGTCGATCTTCCTCTTGAAATGTGAAACCGGTTTAGAAAATCACTTGTAAATTCACCGTCCCGGCTTTAAAGACCCCGCATTTGCGTCTTGTTGGACCAAAATGAATCAAAATGTTCCAATTTAATTAAAAACGAGTCATGTTATCATTTTACATGCATAGTTACTTTATTAAAGAACCGACACTTAAAGTTATTCTTGTAGTCAAAGCAGTGGGTCTCATGATGGTAACCCATAAACATATATTGTTTTACTTTCACTTTTTTTATTAACCTGGATATCCAACCCGCTATGCTAGCCGACTAATCCTAAAACAACCATCTGTTTTGATGTTAACGAGTATGACAATCTTATGTTCTAATCTTAATTCTTAATTGTAAAGAGTTTGGTTGAATATGATGAAATGGTTCGATATAATGTAATTTTTCATTGTAACTTTGTTTTTATGAGTGATCAGCGAGGGAACTGGTTTTTGGTTAATCCCTTGCTGATCTGCGAGAGATATTTTCCGTCGCTGATGTTTTGTTTTTATAGTATGTTTATATTTTTTTTTATAAAAAGATTATTCATTTTCTATGTATTTGCATTTGTCACGCGGATCTTTACATTTCAGAGACCTAAAATTAATATAATTGTTAAAAAATAAAATAGTGAAATAAAATCGTAACACGAGATCTAGGATATGAAGGTTACATAGACATTAAATGTCTGGAAATCAATTTATTCTGAAAATTTTAATTTAGTAAAATAGACATGGAATAAATTATAAGTTTCGTTGATGTGGTTAAGTGTTTTTAACGATCTTGGTCCATTTTTAAAATTTTAACGAATCATATCCTTTCATAATAAATTAAGTCCATGTCACTAATTTTGTTAAATAAGGGGTTGTTTATCAATTACTTATCAGGTAAATGTTTATCGATAAAATTTAACATTATTAGTTACTTATCGTGTATGATATTAATTCACCAAAACGACATCGCATGCAACAATTTTACCCGGTAAGCGTTTATCGTGGTAAGAATCGTCGTCCTCACTTACCGGGTAAAACTTTTGGTCCTTGTCTTGCTCTTACTATAATCATGCAGCGAGGTAATGTGACTTGATAAGCGCTTATCTGGGTAAACGTTTAGTAAACGACTCCTAAATCTTTTTGTCTTTTTATCCTTTTGTTAATGAAAAATAAGAAATATAGTATATTTATATTATATGGGGCTCATTCAAGGGAGAACTGATTAGTTTGTGGTAACCGTTAGATCCAATCTCAACCAGAAATCAATTATTAAATTAGGAAATTTATAATTTTGGTAATTTTTAATAAAAATTTTAATACAAGGACATTTTAGGTATTTTCTTTCCTCTCTTCTCTCTCCGTCCCCGTCTTCCGGCCACCGTTATCCGGTGATACCACAATGTAATACTCAAGCACATATAAGATGCATTGTGATACCAGTGTGTTACATATCCGATCGATCGCACAAACGACCACATTGTGATACCCAATCACATATAATTAAGATACATTGTGATACCACTGTGGTATCACCGGTGGCTGGAGGCCGGGAGACGGAAATAGGAGAGAAGAGAGAAAATACCTAAAATGTCTTTGCATTAAAATTATAATTATAAATTACCAAAATTATAAATTTCTTAATTTATCTATTGATTTGTGGTTGAGATTGGACCTCACGGTTACCATAGACTAATTAGTTCTCATTTAATTAGGCCCTTATATTAGAGATAGAGAGAGAGAGAGGGGGGGGGGGGTTTCAAATATAAACCTTGTCATTGTTACAAACTATACGAAACCAATCAATTGAGATATTTATATAGATGACGATGATTCATTTATTATAATATGAATATTTATAAAAGATGATTAATTAGAGTTCACTAGTTATGATCAACGTTCTCGAGATATTACGGAACCAAGTATTTATAAGACAAGATGAATGGTTGAGATTGGTTTATATAGTTTGTAACAAACTAAGGGGTTGTTTGTTTACCTCTTAATAGTTTCATTAAAAGACAACCTCTGAATCGCTAAGAATTGAATCTTGTTTGATAAAAAAAAATTTGTCTCTTAATGGTTTGAAAACCCTCTGAATGATTTTGTATCTTGGGTCTCCCTTGATCATTCAACATCCTAATTTCATTCTCAACAATTACCAAAAAATTATATTTCATTTTGCACTACATTATAAGAGTCTTTTAATCATTCTAATCACTGAATCATTCTGTACCAAACCATTCAGCAACTGTAAAACAGTCCCTAACAATGTGTTAGTTTGTATAATAAACTACATCTCCCTCTCTCTATATATATATACACACAGATCAACAATCAATGACTCAACATAGGGACCATCATGACGATCTCTATCTCCAACGATCTACAAACCGTAGTGACAACCTCCATCTCCGGTGATCCGGAAACCATATAGTGACGATCCCCATCTGAGTTAATATCCTAACAAACCATAGGCGGACCTGTAGAGGTGGCATGGGTGGCACGTGCCACCGTATTATTTCGTCA